CTCGGCCTGCGGCCCCGCCGAGCCCCTAGTCGCAGTGGCCGCGGCGGCCGGGGAGGCAGCGGCGGCGGCGGCGCGGCGGCGACAGTAAGTGCGGGCCGGAGGTCGGGCGCGGGCCTGGCACCCGCCCAGCTCTTCAGGCTCCCGGCGGTCCCCTGGGGCTCGCGCTTCGGCGGCCTCCCCGCACGAGCCCTCCCGGGGACTGCTCCACGGGAGAGACCTCAGGGCCTCCGTCCCAGCCCCGGCCCCTCCTCTTGGGCGCCTGTCGCTGTCTCCCACCCCATCATCCCTTCTCTTCCTTCTTGCTCCCCTCGCCCTCAATTTCCCCCTTTCCGGGTCGCTATCCTCTTTCTCTCGCCGCGCCCCATTCTCTGCCCTCCTCTTTCTCCTCCTCGTGGATTTCCTGAGACCGGACCTCACCACCTGGGGGGCCCGGGTATGGACACATGAGCCCAAAGTATCCAGAAGGTGGCTGACGCTCAGTTCCAACTGGGGAGTCTGAGGCTGGAGGTGTCCACAGCCCCAAAGCCCATTCTGCCACGGCCTCTGGGCGGCGCCCTGTGTTCCCCAGCAATGTTTTCCCATAGGTTAGCACCAGCTCCCCTGTCCCCGTTTCACAGGCGGGGAGATCGAGGCCCGAAGGGGAGATTGACTTAGCCACAGTCAGAAACCGGGTCGGAACCGGCAGCCAGTTCCAGATGGTGGCCTGCAGCGGCCCCAGGCACCACCCACTTCTGCTTCTTGGTGCGGGCGCTGCCCCTACCCCCACATCCCCCAGGAAGGGAGCAGGGCCAAGCCCGGCCGGCTCCTGCAGATGCCTGAGGGGCACACGCCAGGCCACAGCCCGCCCGTGCTGACGATACCACGGCTCTTCCTTCGGTTTCTTTTTCTTTCTTTTTAATCCAAAAGCCAGCAGCTAGCTTTTATGAACCGTAATAAGACTTTGCTCACTCCAATGCCCTGGCCTGTGACCCAGGTCGGAGAAAATTTCTGGCTCCTTCTTCAGAAGCTCAGTCAAGGCTGAATGGTCCCGGACAAATAAATGCCTGGAGATGAGAGTGGGCTGGAGTGACCCCACCGTTGGCCCCCGCACCCGCCCCTGTAGCTGGAGCATCTGGAAGGAACCACTTGCCCTTATGTCTGTTGTCCTACACGGGTCATCATTTTTACATTTTTCCACACTAATATAGAAATTTGTGTGTGTCTGCACATGCCTGTGTGCCCACCCTGGTTAGTTTGTTAGTGGTGGGCTCCCTGTGGATCAAGGCTAGGAAGGGCTCTGTTCAACCAGGGGAGTTGAAAATAGACTTGCTGGCTTGGAGGCTTAGGTATGTACCTCTTGCTTGCCGCTCCGGGGTACAAGCTACCCCGGTAGGAGAGAATATCCTGGCCACGCAAAATCCATTCATTCAGCAAACATCGCTGAGGGTGCCCTGCACCCTCTTTGCCTCTGCTCACAGCTCCCTGGCCGTGAGGCCTTCTAGAAGGAGATCTGGACTTGGAGCCAGCAGACGTGGGTTCACACTGCCAGCCAGCCTCCTCTCCCGCCCGGGCCTCAGTCTGCTTGGCTGTGCGACCTCTCTCTTGCCATTTGGGGGGCTGTGTGACCTCGGGCACATGACTGAACCTTTCCGAGACTCTCTCTTCCTCTGCGAAATGAGTCTCAGCGTAGTGCCTATCACGCTGGGCTGTTGTCAGGCTCAAGTGCGGGCCTTTGACCGGCATTGCATGAGTACCGGGTTGCGTGTTAACTCTTGGCGATTCTTACTGCTCGAATGTGGGACAAATCAAGGCCTCGTTCTTCGCCCCTGAAAAAAGGAGGCAATAATTCCTGTCCTGACTTCCAAGGAATGTTGTGTGGCCCTCCTGAAATAGCAGAGAAGGCTCTGTGCCTGCGGGACGGGGTGTTCCCCTGTCCCCAGGGAAGAAAGGCTCTACTCCGCCTGGCTTGATGCTGTGACTTAAGGCTCAGCCTCTTAATGGGAGCCGAGCTGCGCTGCGTTTATTTCTTGATGTACTGGGTGACGGAGGGGGAGGGGAGCTGCTACGGGAGACACTACAGTGTCCCATCGTCAGCTCTTTGGAAGTACTGCCATTTATCAAGCTGCTGCCATGTCCTAGGTGCTATATAGAGCATAGAAGCGGGCATACGACTTTTCAGCCGAATCCAGCAGCCAGCCGCCAGGTGACAAGCCCACGGTGGCGGGGAAGACGCTGACGTTTGTGTAAGAGCTGCTCCCACGGTCCAGGCACTGACAGCCAGCTGCAGTTGTATAACCATCGTAAGAAGGCCTCCCTCGGTTTGCAGACGGGGAAATCGAGGCTCCGAAGCATGGCCACTCGCCCAAGGTCATGTCGGCGATGGTTCCTAGCAGAAATTTCGGTTAGTCTTAGGTGCTATCGCAGATTGGGAGTGGCCGTCTCCCGGTGGGATGTGAGGGACAGAGGTGGGGGCCGGGGCAGGAACTGCCAACCCAGCCTTGGCCGTGGACCTGGTGTGTGACCTTCCACTCTTCGGACCTCTAGCTCCCGCAAATTAAATGAGCGAGTGGACTGTTAGATCTCTTAGACACCATGGATTTTTGGCGGTGGTTGTGTTTTTAATGCTATTTACTTTGAATGTCTTTGCTTCTATTTATGGTTTTATTTCTGAACACATAATACATTCATGTCGTTCGAAATTCCAAAGGCACACAAGAGTAGGGAGTGAAGATCCCTCCCTCCCCATCGCCCCCAGCCTCCCGCCTCAGACGTAGCCACTCTTTGAAATTTCTTGTGTGTCCTTCCAGAGGACGTACATACGTATGTGTATATATTCTCTTCCCCACGCAGCCCAGCCCTGCTTTCTGGCTTATTTGCTACCTGTGTTGGCCTGCGTGGGAGTCGGGGGCGGGGGGCGGGGGGTGATCCTTTGGTCACTTACCGTTCCGATATCTTGTCTTTCTCCCTGATCCTTAAACGTGAAGCTCTCTAACCGTGCTTTGGTGACCCAGGGTGGGGGCGTGGTCAGCTTGTAGGACGGTGCGTCCCTAGCTGTGCCCAGGCTAAGCTTCTGATCACCTGCCCTGCCTCCGTTTCCCTCTCCTCCAATAGTGGCCATGATCTCAGAGGATGACTTTCACCACAGTGCAAACGCCACCTACAGACCTGCAGGCAGCAATCTCCGAGCTGACCAGGAAGCGCTCCTTGAGAAGCTGCTAGACCGCCCGCCGCCCGGCCTGCAGAGGCCCAAGGACCGCTTCAACGGTACCTACATCATCTTCTTCAGCTTGGGCATCGGTGGCCTACTGCCATGGAACTTCTTTGTCGCTGCCAAGGAGTACTGGCTATTCAAACTCCGCAACTGCTCCAGCCCAACCGCAGGGGAGGAAGCCACGGGTTCGGACATCTTGGTAAGGAAGTGTTCATCCCGGGAGCGGGTGGGGACGGTGGGAGCAAGCAGCCTGGTTGGGGCGAAGGGCAGCTTTGCTTGGGTTTCCAGGATGCTAAGAATATGGATGCAAGCCAGTGAGTCGTGTGGAGCACAGTAGAAAGGCTTTGATCCCGAGACATGCTTTGCGTTGTGTGTGAGGCCTCATGCTTCATGTGGTGGGGAGAATGGAAATGGATAAGACAGGATGGCAGCCCTCAGACTGCTTACTGTTTCACTCGGGCGGAAGACACGAACGGTGATTCTGTGCAGTGTCACAGGGCGAACCCAAGAATCCAGAGTTCGTGACTCCGGGGATTGGAAAAGGTGGCTCTAATCGCATTAAGGTCAGCTGTTACAGAAAGTTCCAAAAAAGCAGTGCTAAAACAAGCTGGAAGGCAAGTTTTCTCCCGTGTTCAAGTCTGGAGGGGCCAGCCCAGCGCTGGTGTGACGTTCCGTGGGGTCGGAAATTTTGTTGCTCTATCAGGTATAGCTTCCATATTAAGGATCCCCTCACAGTCCAAGATGGCTGTTGGAGCTCCAGCCATTACAGCAAGAGGAGGAAGAGAGGCATAAGCACATTCCTGGAAGTCACACTCACTGCTTCTGCTTACATCGCATTGGTCAGAACTGAGTCGCATGACCACATGTGCTGCAAAGGAGGCTGGGAAATGTAGCCTTTAAATGTTGTCATTATCCCAGAGAACCGTGTGCCCGGATAAGCTGAGAGGTGGTACGGTTAAAGGCGATGGGGGGAAACGCAGACTCGAGGATAAGTCCTTGTCACCAGGGGAGAGATGGCTGTGACTCAGAGCAGGTGGATAAGAAGGGAGAGGAACTTTCAGGTGGGAGAAAAAAACCTGAGCAGAGGCAGGATGGGGGAAAGTTCTGGTGTGTGAGGGGCAGTAAAGCACCGAGCGTTACTCGATGTGGGGTGCACCTAAGAGAAAAACGAGGCTTGAGGTCATTGCCCGGGCCCCGAAGTCCTTGCTCAGGCCTTGAATGCCAAGGTGAGGAGTGGACATTGTGTTTAGTCGGCAGTGGCACCACGCCCCCTCCCACCATCGGGGCCCTTCACTGTGTGGTATGACTTTTCCCTCCGGCAGGGGCAGTGTTGAAGAGATTATTCTGCCACTTGTTAAGACGGTAAGGAAGGCCCCACTAAGGGAGAGAGGTCGTGCTCAACTCCAGATACTACAAGGACGTGTGGGGATTTATAGCCGAGGAGGAGGGTGAGGGCTCAGTGGATGAAAAATTAGTATGAAGAGCCCTCAAGGGCAGGGGGATTCTTGCTAAAGGCAGGCCAAGGGCCTGTCCACCAGGGGTGTGGGATGTGGAGCTTGCCCCTATATCCGGGGCGATCAGATATCAAGGGTGGGGTCTTCTCGAGAAATTGACTTAGCAGGATTCTTGCTAGGACTGGGCTGGGCCAAGGTCAAGGCCTAGTGGAGAAGAGGACTCAGAGGTTTGGTTAATCTTTATCTGGAGCCTCGGTGCCCACAGCCGATCTAGGCTGGTGTCTGCTTACTCCTGAAAGCTCACGGATGGGGAAGGTGGGGCATCTCTGAAAGGCTGCCAGATTGGGGGTTGCCAGCTGCCTGTCTCCTCCAGGACACAAGAAGAGGGAACGCTAGCAGACCAGAGCCATGCCCCTCAACTGGCCCAGGCAGTGGCTCACCACCCCCTTTTCTGAAAGCACTTTTGAAATCCCCGACCGAACCCTGAAGAACTTTCCCCAGTCTTGTAGGGATAAATCTGACTCATTGACTGGAGCAGCCCTGTTGTCTGTCTCAGGGACTCTACATGACTCCACGTTGGAATCACCCAGGGAGTTTTGAAAAAAATCCCAGTCTGCGGCGCCTGGGCGGCTCAG